GCCCCTGCGCGCACCGCGGAGCACGGCTCCACGCTTCGGGCAGGGTTTCTCCGCCGCCTGGATCTGGGTTCAGGGAGTACCGGCGTTTGGCTCCCAGACTTGCCCAAACCCTCTCCCCGAAAAAACCCGAAACCAAACCAGCGCTGCCTGGAGCGGTACCAAATTAGCGCAATTTCCCTGCCTCAGCTGATTTTTCTTTGGAGGCAGTGCCTTTCTATTTTCTATGTAAACGGATTTTCAGAACAAGGTTATATTTAAACCTGTTTTCAGCCAGACTGACATGGAGGACTGTAGTTGTTCTTTCAAGATTTCCCTTGGAGGATGAGGTTATACCACTGCGCGATTTCCTTACACCTCGGTGTAAGGCTCCCCATTGCACTCTCTGCTTAATTGCCTCGAGTGTGGAGGACAGGCAGAGAGGGAGCCAGGTTAGCTGAAATGCAGATGGAAAATGCTGAGAGGCATCACTGGGAGGATGCTGGAGGCATCACTAGCTATGGCAGCTGTCATGTCCTGCAACATAGGCCCTGTGACTGCATTAAAACCCAGTTTTGGTATGTTCGGGTCCTGGAGGTCTCAATAAGCCTGCTTGGCTCTTCGTTAGGGTGCTGCAGAAGAAAATGGCTGGCTTTTAAAAAAGTGAGATGTAGCTAGCCTCTGAAATGGGTAACCTGGAGCAGATGGAAGCTGCTGGGGAAAGGTTCATGGTGGGAGAGTCGGGTGAGGGGATGCTGAACTCCCCCTACCCTAGAGTTGGCTTAATTGTCGTAATGAGCTCTTCAGAGTCAATGTGTTATTGCTCAAATGAGGAAGCTAGGCGGTGAAAATACAGGGGAAAATGATAGGTTGCAGAAACTTTATGTTTTTCTCTGATACGAAGTAGGCTCCTCTCCAGGAGGGCTGAGTAAAGATCCTGCAGCACTCAGAAACTGCAAATGTTTCATATACTTTATTCCAGTATAAACACTATAGCTACTGAATAACATTGGATTATTCCAGTAAACCAGGAACAGCTGAGATATGTGTGTGCGCCATGGGCTCCTCCCATGCTTCAGCCACCTGGAACCAGGTGCACGGTGCATTTGTGCAGGTGCAGTTCCTGACAGAGGCACAAGTTTGCCCATTGCAGCCTTGTCATGTTACAAACCCAGTCAGGAAAAACATGCTTACAGATGAGAAAGATAAACCTTTACACAACGACTCATGTCTGTGGAAGCTGAGGAGAAAGTAAAAGAGGTGCAAAGCAATGGGTTTGTGTTTTGAAATAACAAGGAGTTGTGTCTGGGATTGCAGAGTGAGCTTGAAAGGTGGGATACCTCTCTCCAAAGATTCTCTCAAAGATTCTTTCGGAAATAGGAAATGTCGGTGTTTCTCACTGAATTGGAGTGAAAATAGCAAAAGAGATCTTAAGCTCTGGAAGATAATGATACAGGGTTTTGGCCTGCTGGGTCCCTGGTTCCCGGTCCCCTTGCACAGTACTTCCTACTCAGTGAAAGCCCCAGGAGATTTTTGGTTTGCTCATGGGATAAGGAGCTCTTTCTTGCTGTTGAGAGGAACCAGAGTGCTCTGATGTTTTGGAAAGAAGACAGTACTGAGTAGCCTAAGTGCCAAACTGGTCTGGAGGACCAGTTTCAGTGCAGGCTGAGCAGGAAGGATGGGGAGCTTCCCAACTCCCCTGTGTGATACAGATGGTGAAAACTGAAAGAATGAGAAAGAGTTTATGCAGAAGGGTCCCCCCACCCTGCTCCCCAGTTAAGAATATTAAAAAGGGGTCATTTCCATCTTCTGTAAATCCTAGGCTTTCAGAAAGTGAATTCTAGGATTGAGAACAAACGTTTGTAATAAGCATATATGGTGAACTAAATAGGTACTGTGGCAAGGGCATTTTAGCAACAAGACAAAAAGTTATTTTTTGTTAATGGCAGTGTGTAAAAAAATAATATAAATGACCTTTGAGGTCTCCAGCTTTAAAGAACACATATTTACT